GAGAAAGGCATTCAATGAACATAAACCCAGTAACTACCAGAAAAAGACTGGGAACAATTCCTTTATACAGTGCTCTCCATCCTTCCTCTCTCATAATTGTTTTCAAGGCATCTGTAATTTAACGACACACACAACAAAAATGCATTTATGGTCAGAAACAATCATGATGAAGGAGTACTAAAACACAAGCATCAAAGGATATCTCAGAGAGCACATTAATAGCAAATTAATGAAAGGTGCAGAGCAGACCATAAAGCCCAGAATATCTCTGAGTTTGGTGAAGAGGATTCTGAAGCTGCAATCTTGTCTTTACAAGCCAGATAGGATTTGTACAAAAGCAAACCTGGGAAAGGAAAAGGACGCAATTATCAATATGCAAGACTCTTGTTCAACAAAGAAATGAACCAGCCTATCTTCACTAAAGCAATTAGAAACAAGAAGCCAACTTCCAGTGAATAGATGTCTTGAGAAACCAACCTCCTAAATGCACTAAATACAGAAAAGCACCAACAATTCAATTAAGAAGTTGTTCCCGAGCACCTCTTTTGATTATGCTATTGACGCTAATTGTCACATCTTATCACTACATATTTGTTGATGATTGTTTCAAACAAAAGGGATGTCTGAGTTAATTACCAGTTAACAGTAGCCTTTAGTTTCATCCTCTCAGCCACATTTCTGCATAAATTGTATGGTTCTTATTGCTTATATGCCAACAATGGGAGTTCCTTATGTTCTTTTGCTCCCTATGTTTAAAAACTTAATTCTAGCTTGCAAAATCTCTTTCAGATATAGCATGGACCGTATGAATTTCTTCAAAGTAATATCACTGAAGATTCAAATACTCACCAAAGCTCCAGCTTCTGCAGCAGATGCAAGATGAAGACCAGGGCTCAGCTTCTCATCCCTGTTTTTAGAATACCTTTGTTTGGCTCTACTATAACTACAAATAGAAAGAGAAAAAACTCCTTCAAGTGATCTATATGATAGACAAAAATTAAAAGATAACTAGAATAAATGCACCGTCTGTGAAGCAGATAAGTATCACTAAGAAGTCTTTTTATGGAAGTCCTAAAATCTAAAAATTAAAAACCAAGAAGAAAGCAAACAATATTAACTATATGAAAGAATCCTTTTGATGTTAGAAAAGGCATGTTAAAAACCATCCAAAGCACTACCTGGTATCGGTTGGTGAAAGCAAGGACAAATTACATGCTAGCCCACAATCAAAAGCTATCAAAATCGAGACTTACAAGAAAAAATACAAACCCCAGGAAACAGTTGAGCCAAGAACTGCAGGAAAGAAGCCTGCATAAAGCCCTTTTAATCCCTGCCAACACAAAGGCATCATTATGTTAGCAAACATTCGATGACACAATCAGGCATCGAACAGAAAGAAACTTTAAAAATCTGCTTCCCAAACTTCATCACAATCTATTACTTTTATTTATCAAACTCGCATAAAGACCTAAATTAAAACGGGTTCCTTCAAAATTGAATTTTAATTCTTAACAATTTAGCTTCTCCATATTTTACACCCCATTTTATTTCTCAAAACAACATCATAATCATACGTATACACCATTAATCATTTCCATAGCTGATCCCACACTCTTTCGAAATAACCAAAGAGGACTAAACGCCAACAACTTCATAATCAAGAAGCAATTTTTCTTCTACCCCAACAAATAATATCCCCCAAACACACTTTTCAACACGCAAAATCAATCCAGAAGCGAAACAAACAACAAAGAAATATTAAAAAATAAATAAAGAACAGACACCCAATAGAGTAGGTGATTACCTCTAAGCGAGCAATGTTTAAAATAGCATGTGCAGTGTTCTTGTAAGTTGGGAGATTGACGACACGACCATCGTCAACTATTTAGAAACATCCATTGTTTTTTCACTGTTATCAGTATCTTTCAAATGTTTTTAAGACAATAAAAGGAACAAGAATTTGATTCATTGAATGAAGAGGAGTAGCCTACCTTGAAATCTAGTACGTACGACATCAAGAGGGTGCACGGCGGCGACTGTGGCGAAACCTGCGACGGCACCGGCGGTGGCATTTTCCCATTGCCATTTAGAGTCTGACATTATGAGACTGGATGCTGGATTCCGTTGGCAAAAAGAAACTTGAAAAGGAAAAAAAACATATGAGAACCAACGACTTGTCGTATGGGTTAATTTGTTGAAAGAAAGTCCGCGGGAGGTTGGGTATGGCTTGTATAGTTACTTTGTTAGGGATTGTATTTGACCCGACTTGAAGCCTAAAGCATGGATAGAATATGTTAAGTAATTTTTTTTTAAAAAAAAGCAAAAACAACGTCCTTTTAATTTTTTTTAAATAAAATTAACTCAGATTTTTAGTTAACTGACTCTAAATTATTATTTTTTATGACCCTTGATCTGGGTTGGATGATAAGTCAGTGGAGTTCTAGATTAATCTTTTTAATTAAACCGAGTTTAATAATGTATTTATGTATATAATATATGATACTTAATCCAATATTTTCTGATATATATTTCTAAATTTTCTCAAACATATTCATAATTATTAAAGGAAAATATTGCTTTATATACTTAAAAGTATAACTTAAAAATGCATCCGATTTCTCATGAATTCTTCATTCATAATTTAATACAACTTCAAATAAACAGAATATTTCAATATTTTGTTTCGTATTTAAATTTTATAATAACAAACAAAAATAATATAAATTACATGGAAAAATGATGAATGTTAACCAAGAAAAATGCTAATGAAATATTCTTATCATGTATATTATTCAAATTAGTTTGCAGCTTTCATATATTTCAGCTAGTTTTATTATTTTTTAATAATTAATTTAAGAATAAGCATTTGAATTTGAATTAATAATAAAATACATATATCAAAATCTAATTCTAAAAACATACATAAAATACATCTTCAATATTCTACATTAATATATCCACATATCTGTATTATAATAGAATCCATTAAGCTGATTGACAGGTCCCTTGTAAGCTGTAACAGTTCTTTGCAGCTTACAGGATTCATTGTTTTGTCTGCTCCAAGTAAGCTGTGCAATGTCGTTTGAAAGGTGATAGTGTTTAGGAAAATTTAGCATTGCATCATAATCAAGTTGGGCAAAGGAATGGTGAAGAAATTTGATTTCAAATATCCATATTCCCAAGCTTCATTTCATATGCTATGCAAGAAGGGATAGAATGATGGTGATTGTGTCATCTAGCAACTTTGATGATATAAAATCATCATTGCAGATTCTTCCATGGACTAAAATGTTACTATATAACATGCCATCAAACCCAAGATAGTATAGTTGTTAAACCTAGTCTAGTCCAGATCTACAAGTTGAAATTTTCGTATCAAGTTCTAAGTGGATGTGCTGAAAAGCTTTCTTTAAATTCAAATTTCACTTAGATATTGTCTGGTCCAGCATATGCCACAAAACCCTAGGCGATGAGCTGCTGAAATGCCAACAAAGAACTTGCATTCCATGGGCCAGGCAAGGTTTTATTGCTAATTCGCAAGTCATTCCATGAAATTGTTTAATTTTTACTGAAACCATTTTCAAGACCTAGCTCAACATATACTAGGCCTTTCTTGTTACTGCTACAGTTGACTGATAACACAAAAGTACCACCAAAAGCCATATAAATATGACCCTTTATCTCCAATATTCCTTTTATTTCCAATGCTGCAAGTTAAAAATGTTTCTGGGAAAACAGCAATCCCATAGCCATAAGAATGGTGCAAGGTACAATCCATTGAGTCCTTTGCGAATCTATCATCAAAAACCGATTCTACAACTGGTGTGGCATTTCTCAGGAAATTAAGGGCAGTTACAATTGACAAAAATAAGCTAATTTGAGCTTAGGCTGGCTGCTTCAAGTGGAGACGAACAATTAACTTTTTAACAAAGAATGTTCTGTGTAATGATGAAACCATTAATTTCATCATCTGCCAGCAAATCCGACATGATACATCAGCATCAACTGCTCTTAATTTGAATGAAACTTGCCAGTGCAGCCTTCCACTTTTAGCTCTTTTAACATTTATCCTCGGAGAAAGCCTAAGCAACAACAAAAGCTAATTATTATAAGGTGTTGGAATCTAATAGGATGTTGACCCAAAATGAAAAATGAAATGATGCATCCATAAAATTAAAATAGTAACAGCAATATGCAGAACAACAACGCATAGCAAATAATTAACCCAGTGAAACTAGCTCTGGCATTAAATTGTCCTCTCTTATCTGCTAATGCAAAAAACACAAGCACAGTTCCAAGCAAGCAACATATGGGATTTGGACAATAGAGATTCTACAGTGTGAATGCTAGCTATTAATACATGGATATTACATATCTTTGGTCCTCAGTCCTCTCATAAAGGTGTTGTGGAACAATCAATGTACATGTGAGAGGTAATTGTAATGGTAAGTGCAAGTTGTATGGGTTATATTTTCGTGAATGGATTTAACATATTGGTTTAAACAAAGTTAAAGATTTGTGAATTATGATTATACGGTGATGTGTGCCTGCTTATGAGGTTTGCTAAGGGAATTTCCACTTGATCCTTGCCAACAAAAAAACTACATCTCCAGCTCTCCACATACCAATCAACTCAAATGCTACTCAACAAACAACCATTAGGTTAGGAGCAGTAGAACAAAAAGTAAAACCCTGCCACCATCATCTTGCGTTGCATATCTTATCTTATAAATTCTACAAAGCAAGATTCATCAACATAACCAACAATCAAAAGCAATGTAGCTACACACTCCTATACACCTAGTCTAAACAAAAAAGTACACAATTTGCATACGACTTCATTAAACTAACCTTTCTTGTCCAAAAACTAAATCTTTTGAAAACTAACATTGCTAAAAAACCAACCAAATCCACAAAGAAAAGAAATATAACAAACTGACTCATCATTCGATTATAACTTTCGATCCTACTTTCTCTGTTTTCTCAATAAACATAATGGACATAAACACATTTTGGTTTTCACCGTTTGCATTATACATACACACACTATGCAAGCACACAAGTGAGACAAGATTCAAAAATAGGAAAACAGAGAGCAACCTAAGGCATGCTAGCCAGCCATAACCATGTTGCAGACATTTTGTCCATTGAGTTTTAACTGATACTTCAAGTAGTCTCACACTCGCACTTACATTTTTGTGCTATTAGATTCAATATTTGTATATGGTCAACATTCTCGACTTGTGGTTATCAACTATCAAGATACATGTATCCCCAAAATCCCTAAATGTTGGAACCAATTTTTGCTCCTCTTGAACAATGGCACTGTTCTCACTTGGAATCATTCCAGCCTCTCTACCCAAAAAACTTGTCTCAGTTTCCAGATAAAAGTTCTTAATCTACTTGATATCAGTCATTTTCAAATTATTCAATATAAGAGCAGCGATTGAAACATGCTGATCTAAAAACTACTCTGCATGATTTAATCTCTCTCCATGAAAATGAAAAACTGTTGAAGTTCACGTCTCCAAGTAACAAGCAGAACAGACAACTTTATGAAACACCTGCTTATAGCCACATTAACCCAAACGAAAGAAAAAGCGATTCAATTTCAGATTCAATTTTACAAACAAAACCCTTGGACTCAACTCTAAGTTCCTGAAAAGAAACTCAAATTTACCAAAAAAAAACAAGAAAAAAAAACTCACATTCTTTATTCCATTGTAACTTTAGCCCCAACTCCCTTCATTTTCTCAATAATCTTTTCAGCTTCATCTTTAGTAACTCCTTTTTTCAGCAGAGTTGGTGCCTTTTCCACTAAATCTTTAGCTTCCTTCAATCCCAAATCAGTAAAACCTCTAACTTCCTTAATAACTTTTATCTTCGCTGCCGCATCAAACCCTTCTAATTTCACATCAAACACTGTCTTCTCCACCTTCTCTTCCGCCTTCGCCGCTGCAGCCCCACCACCACCACCGCCCTTCATCCCCGCTCCCATACTGAACCCCATTCCTGGCATCATCACTGCCATCACTGGCATTTCCTTGATCTCCAATTTAGTACGCAAAACCTCAGTTAAATCAGATACCTCCAGAAGGGTTAATTTTGAGAGTTCATCCACAATTGAGGAGACCCTATCAGTTGATGGCGGTGGTTCTTGAGGAGATGGAGTTGATTCTTGAGAGGGAGATGTGAATCGGCGAGTGAAACTTGAGGATGTGAGAGTGAAACGAGATGTTATTTTAAGGTTTAGGGTTTTGTGGATTTGAGAAATGAAGTGTAAAGATCTCATCTTTAGGGTTTATAGGTTATGGGTTTTGCCTGTTCTTTGAAATTACAGGGATTATAGGAGCATTTTTGGGAAATGAAGGAGGTTAGTGTCGTTTTCCTTCCTTTGAAGCTGAGAAAGAGAAACTGCGGTAACTGTAAAATCCAGCCATAAACCCTACAACTGCTATCAAACAGGCTTTGCTGTTGGTGCACTAATGGGCTGAACCAGGCATAGCCTCTAATGGTGGTAGATCATTGATATCTTCTTGATTTGAGGACTTTTTGTCCACGGCTTAAACAAATTAATAATAAAAAAAAGAAGATAATAATATCATTGTGTTGATTTTTTTTTTAAATGAATATTTTTTTATTAAATTTTAATTGGGTTAATTTAGGTTTTTAACTGGATTATACTATATCAATCTTCTATTTGTTTTCGATAAAATTTAACCTAAATTATATATTAAGTAAAACAAGTTTTGAGTTTACCGTTAAGTAGAATATGAATTATAATAATATTACCAGACACCCCTCTTTTTGTTACATTTTATGTCGGAATGATCCAACCATCAGGGTCAAAAGTTGCATATTTCATAGATTCATTTACATAATTAAAATTTGATTAGCTAATTATGAAGGAATCCAGTAACTAATTTGAAAGGAAAGATATACTATACTGAAATTGTCAAATAATAAATTGATTATAATGAGAAGTAATATTGAATACCATCGTATAAATCAAGGGCACTTGTATAGCTAACCATTTATATTATCTACATAATTTTAAAAAATCAATATTCATTTCATTTCAGAAAACAGCGTAATTACTTATAAATATAAAAAAGAAACATTTTGAAAAATTTTATGATATGTTAAAATACTCATTTTGAGATATAATCCCAAAGGCATAGTATAATTTTCCCTTACAATTTAATTTTCATCATAATAAAGCTCCCATAAGATTTTCTGCTAGAAATGATGGCGATTTTTTTCTGGTCAAAAGAAGAAAAGCTTGACAATTAGCATTTTCATGGAGGTTATGGATAACTACAACGGTCAAAAAGACTTGATCTTTACAGCGCTTGCTTAAAATCACATTCAACACCCATCCTTTTCTCTCTCTTCTTCTTTGGTTTTTAGACTAGAAAGGCTAAGCAGAAGTCAATGGTTGCTTGCGGTCTTCACTTTTGAAATTGCATGGAACGTAAACAGTACAGTAGCTAGTGTTCTGAAACACATCCAGCGCTCAAGAAACTTAAACACATTGTCATACGATGTTCCTGTTTGTTCTTGTTCATAAGCTCTAAAAATGGCAAAACAAGAAAAAAGGAGAAGCTATGCTGAAATGGGAAATAGAAGGCGAAGCACCAGGCTGCAACAGAAGCTAATGGACGCAGAGACCTCCTCCATATCTAGAGCTCCTAACCATGAGGCAACTCTTGTCATTATGATTAGTTTAATTTCGATAGAGGAAATATAAAATTAAATTTTGTGTTAGCATGGCATCAGATAGGTTTCATCGGCATTGCAGAAATGAGTTCTAGATTATTTATTTTTTATTATTATTATCTATTCTGTTGAAGAAGAATCTAGAGAGGAGGGAGATTCTTTACAGTAACCATTGTTTTAGGAAATCCATATGGGAGTAGAATATGAATTTAAAGCTCCAAAGAGTTTATTCAAAATAATATTATTTCATTAAAAAAAATTACTAGAAAGTCGTCGTCGTTTTTTAATTCACCTTGTGAACCCACAGCTCAAGCCTTGATAAGCTAAACCCCAAGCCGATAACTATGAACTATGGTCTTAACAAAGGCCTGGTGATCCCAAACACTATTATTAATAAATTAAATGTGAATATTCAAGTAGGCTTAGAAAAGTAAAAGCACTCATGTAATGTGAATTACTGTTTCAAATTTTAGTTGGCATATGCTTGTGTTATATCTTCTTGCTATTTAGCTTGATGGGAAGGAGACATGAAAAGTAAAGGAAATTTCCTCAAACTGCAGCTGAAATTCCAAGGAAGTTCTGGAGCTATGATCACTGGACACAAGGCAGGGTCTTGAAAGCCCTGCTAGATGCCTGAGAGCACCATCATATTTCTATTCCTCGTCGATCAAGTTGAGCATTTCCATTATATTTTGCATCTTTATCGGCCTTGACTATTCGCAATAGGCAAATGAAAAATCACAGAAGATCTCACACTTGTTTGTTGAACCTTTTCTACTATTGCTATTATGAGTTACGGGCATAAAATTTGTAGATTTGACTACTTACTGCCCATAGACTTGGCGAATTGCTCAAAAAAAGGCTCACGGTAACGGGTTTTGAAAGAGGGGAAACGGGTTTTGCAATTTTGGTGAGATTACACTGTTCGAAATTGAAAACGCAGTGGCCCTTGTCACTGATTTTGAAAGAGCAGGTCTGAAAGTTGATTGGCTCAAGCAAAGGTTGGTTGCAGACGAGGGAAGTGATTAAACAACCTACGTCCTTGAAGGAGGCAAGCGATAGAACTAATCAAGTTATCAATGAGAAGAAGAGAAAGCTGGAAGAATATGAAGCTCTTATGGTGGTACTTCAAGTAAGGATGACAGTGTATCAAGAAAAACTGGCAATGCTTCAAGAAAACGTGAATTTAACAAAGAAGGAACTGCATGCAGCTGAAAGGATAAAAGAAACGATCTCAAATGCAAAGGCAAAAGTGATATACTATACAACATTCAACATTAGATGAGCTCCTCTGAGTTTACACCATCTCTATAATTTGAACTAGAGTATAACAAAGAAAAGTCATTCAGTTCAAATCATCTTGTGACAAATTTGAAGTCTTGCTATTTTGGTTTCGTTCATTTTATCGATACAATGAAGCGTTCAGGCAAACAAACTGTGATGCCCTGTTCTTTTGGTAACTTTATCGTATGGTCTTGCATATTCTCATCGCCGAAAAGTTTAGATGCACTTTACTTGTAATGTCAATGTGTTTTTTGAATTATAGCTGGCATATGCTGTGTTATACATAACATCTTCTGTGCTGTTTGGCTTGATTGGGTAGAAGAGATGAAAGTACAAGGGCTTGAGATGAAATGGAAATCATCCACATGTTCCATTTATAAAAAAAAAAAAATGAAGCATGGAGTTGGCATTTTGAAACAGCAAATCAAGATTGTTGCTTGGACAACTGCTTGATCACCAGTATTGTTTTTGCCTCTGTGTTTCTATTTCTTGAGATTGCGGAGGGCATAAGGCAGAGTCTTAGAACACCCCTCTAGAAGCCTGAGATCCCTATAATCTTGTTGTTCCTAATGTTACAATTTGAGCAACAGAATAACTTTAGCATTTATGATGGCCTTGACTGTCACAGAAATAGATAGCTTCGTTGTTTACTGATCCTTTTATAGGATTAGAATTCTTGCATTTTATGTGTAAGTTCTGAAGACTGCTGCCCATTGGCAAAAGATTGCAAGAACTTTAACATGCCAATTCTGTTATTTCTGATGAAGATGAACCATTGAGAGCAGATTGGTGAAGGGAGGACCCCTCACTCAAATGTCATCAGCTAAAAATAAAAGTAAGCAAATGAGTTTTAAGTGATTGTTATTCATGAAAGTATACTTTAAGCAGCCAAAACAAAGTGGAAACATGAAATTTATATTTGAAAGAACTAAAGAAAGACGAGACCATAGACCAGGAAACAGACACGATGCATTTTAACACAAGATATTTAAACCATAGATCTAACTAGGTACTGTGATTCAAGCATTAATCTTCCTGCAACTCTTTCTAATCTCTCCCCTGTAACCTGTCAACGGAGAGATATTTCCCATCTTAACCATGGACTTGGCAAATTGCACAAAGAAAAGCTCATTGTTCTCGGCATATTTCTTGACCAATTCCATCGATGCTTCATTCTTTGTCAGGAGAACTTGGTCAGAGCTCAACAGTCCCTTTGAAGCCAATATGTTCTTAAAGTAGCTGTTGTCGAACTTTGTTGGACTTACAAAGTCCAAGAAAAACAGGTTCTGGTCACCTCCTGATCTGGGGCACCGGTTCCGCAATTGGGCAGCAAACGATTGTTGAAGAGAGAAGTCAGGCTTCCCATTTCCTGACTGGTTGTACAGCCTCTGCCTGAAGCTGGTGCACCGAGCATTTCCAATTGTGTGGCTCCCTGAACAAATTTTTTCGAAACTTAAGGACCTTATTAATAGTTTGCGGAAGCTCAAAGAAGGGCAATGGTTGAGTTAATTTACCAGATAGTGCTACAAGATCAACAACATTAAGGCCTTGTAACTTGAACTTGGTAAGAATTGTTTGAAATGTGTTGTTTGGAGCAGGAATATTGTTGTTAGAACCACTCAAACTTGCACCTCTAGAGTCCCTTCTTCCCAGTGGAACTTCCCAGCTAGGACCTCCAGCCTGTGTGTACATTAACAAAATGTGGTTAGCTCTGGAGTTTTCGGTAACCAAGTATTACAAGACTAATTATTATGTAACACTTACAATAACAGTAGAATCTCTTGCAGCCAAAGCCATGATATCAGCACAGGAAACAGTTTGAGGACACTCCTTCTCTAGTGCAGATTTAATCTCGTCGATCACTTCAAATCCTCGAGCTGAGTTTCTGTTTGGATTTGACCTCTTCTCAGTTATTATGCTTCCACTGCTGTCTAGCAATATTGATGCATCACAGCCCTGCAATTTTAACAACAGTTTAAATTATTGTAGTCATGATGGTAGAAGAGCTAGTGATGATCAGAGTTACATATAGTAAGTAATCAGTTATAGACCTTGACAAAACAGTCATGGAAATGGAGCCTAAGTAATGAGGCTGCCATGCGAGCTTCTTTAGCAACTGCCTTGGCTACAATGGAGTTTACTATTTCTTGAGCTTTCGGGCATGACCTATCGTAAAACTGTGGGTAGAGGTAGCCACCATTTGTCTTGCCACAAAAGCAAAGAGGGGCAAAGGCAAGGAGAGCAAGAGCAAGAACTAAGACAATGCTAATAGACTGAGCCATACTGCTTCAATCTTTTTAGACTATCACTTCCAAAACCAAGACTTCTTCACAGGATTGCCAAGGAATATGAAGAAATCAAGTTTAGTTGCTATGATGAGAGAACTTTAGATGCTCTTAGGGTATTTATAGAAGGAACCTTGGGGTGGGGGGGGTTTATGAGGGAAGGGAACAAAAGGGTGGAGGTGGTAACTAACTCCCGTTTCGTCAATGGAAAAG